GGGCGCGACCGATTCGCTTGGGCAACCGATTCGCTTGTGAACCACGTTAAACATTTTCAAATTGTTTTTTCTAGTACGGGGAGACATGATTTCCCAACACATCTTCTAGACTAAGGAAGATATGCGCATATACAAAACAATGGCCTTGGAAAATCTCCCTGACAAAAGAATGCTTAATTTGAAAAAAAGAAGTAAGTTGGTATCACAAACAAATGTACAAGAAATGAAAGTCAGGAACCACTTCCGAAAACAATTGGTACCTGATGTTTCCCGATCTCATCGCTAGAACCCTGAAGCTCGTAGCTGGAAAAGCAAAGAACAACATTGTCTGGTCCAGGACGTGAGAATCGGTGGATCAATATGGGCCTAAGCAACCATAGCTTGGTTGGCGTAATCTGTGGTCTTGCCGTCTGATGCGGGGAGCCTTGCGTTTGCATGCGCAAGGCTTGATTGCGCGGCCTCCTTGAGTTGGGCTTCAACATTTCTCTCGTGCTCGCGCGTAGGCGGAGTGTTGCGAGAGGCAGAGGACTGCGCGTCATGCGGTGCGTCGTGTGGCTGCGTGGGCTGCGTAGCCTGTTCAGAGTGCTGGTGGTGAGATGGTTGATGTTGTGGAGTGTGTTGGCCATTGCTGTGTGAGACGTGTGATGGCGTAAGACCATGGTGCGACGGACTCAACATAACTGACGGGCTTGCTGTACTTGCGCGATCACCGGCCTCGTGATCACTTGTTTCACTCTGACCATTGCTAGCGGTTCCAGTGGGATAGGTATAGCCGCCACGCAACTCGCCCTCGCGAACTTCTCTCCATGAGCATTTTGCATGTTTCTTTGTACAGCCCATGCACGCTGTCAGATTTTTCAAGCAGTCCATATGTAATCTTCGACAACGGTCACAGGGCGGGACAATGCGCTCACCCTTGGCAAGACTCTCCATTCTGTGCACCATTTCAACCTTGAAAGGACCTCCGTCATCTTTTTCCGGTTGTTGGCTGGCGCGTTGGCTGGAGGCCGGGAGGAGGCTAGAAGGCGTGTTTGGTATTGGGACGGGTGAGTTCATCATGTTGTGTAGCTCAGATTCATTGAGAGGATGTGAAGGCCTTGCAATTGGCTGTTGCGCGCCAGAAGGAGGAGTTTCGGCCGGCTTTTGCAGGGCCCTAGATGGGATTGACGAGGGTGGAGAGGGGTGGGATCCTGAATGACTGCCTATCGATGGTCTTCTCACTTCAACATTGCTGCTGGGAGGCTGCGATGACACACGCCGGTCATTCACAGTATGGAATTTGGATAGCAGTTCGTGGCGTGTAGATGACGAAGAACCATGGCCACGACTGTGGCTATGCCCATGGCCGTTGGATTCGTGGTGCTGACGCGCATTGACGGCTACAAAGCCGCTGCTGCTGGGCGACGGGTGCGAAGGTTGGTTGTGACCTGGGCCTGCGACGCTCGAGTTGCTACCGTTCATAAGGGCGACGTTTGAAGGACTCGTAGGGCGGGGGATTTGAGGCGTTGGAGTCGCAGTAGCTCTGCGGTCCAGGATTGCCTGTTTGCGGCCTTTGAGGCGGTGGTTGAGCTGCCTTGTGCGAGCAGCAACTGGGAGCATTGGTTAGAACAGTCAAAAACGATTGCGAATTGTGTATTTGCTCAAGGTCGAGGACGCCTGGAGTGACAAAGGAAAGGGGTCGACTCACCTTGATCGGCCAAAGAGCATATTTGGCTGAGGTTCTTTTCCAGAATCTCCATGGTACCTAGCTCCTTCTCCTCGTCTTCGATGATGGGCTGTGGGGGGATCATCTTTTGGGGAATGCCAGATGAAATCAAGACGAAGTCTTCTTCTGAGATCTGGACCCGACATTGCTTGGTGTAGAACTGGCAGACCCTCACGCCCTCGCTCATCTGGTCGAGCTGAAACTGCTCGGGCTTGTTGCGCGCAAACTCAACCACGTCGAGCCAGGACACGGTGGTGCCATCCTTGCCATGGCTCTTGAGGACTCTGGGGGGACCGTCGAAGAGGCGCTCGAAGCGCTTGATGAGAATGGGACCCAGAGGGCGAGCGCCTAGGTTGCAGGCCATGCTCTCGTGGCGGTCGAGGACGCCCTGGTAGTCGCTGAGCAGCGAGAGGATGTTTGGCAGCGTGTCATCGTTGGTGATGAGGGGCAGGTCGTTCTCATTGTGCCTGGCAAGGTAGTTGATCTGCAAATGGTTGTGCTTGGCGGTTTTGGGCAGTGGCGCAGGCGCCAGGTGCATCTCGTGCGAGGGACTGCGTTTGCGCTTGAGGTCGCTGGGCATGTGCGAGGCATGGTGCTGGGGCGGGTGGGCAGACATGGGACGGTCGTCGTTGTTGGCCATGGCTGCTAAGCCTTTGGGGGGAGGGAAGATGGGCTAGGGATGCTGACGAGGTTTGCTGCTCTGGTGGGCGGAATGAGCAAAGGGCAGCTTTCAAAGGCGGCGGAGCGGCGGACGCTAGCGAGCAGCCAACTCAGCTGGGCACGGCGCGAGAGGGCTAGGCGAGTTGCACGGGAGAGCGGAGGCCGCAGGCTACCGAAGCAGAGACATGTCACGCAGAGGGGCACAGCGCGAGGGGAGAGGAGTGCCGGAGGGTGGAGGGTGGAGGAGGAGGAGGAAACAGCAGTGGAGAGCGTGGGCGAGGGAGGGAGATGAACGGCTCGTCGGTGGCTGAAGGCGCCCGAGTGGCTGCACGGGAAGAAGCAGAGAGAGGGGTGGGCGGTGGGCGGCGCACCGGAAATAAGGACGAGCTTTTTTAACAGAGCGGAGTTCCTTGCCAATCAGAGCAGGCGAGTAGGGCACTCTGGCATGGCCTGGCCCTGGCGCGGCCCTGTGATAAGAGGCGCATCGTTGGCGATTCAGGTGATGCCGACTGCCCGGCGGCCTCGCACAGCTCCAACGGCCATGAGACGGCCTGAAACTGAGCCATTAACGCTGCTGAAGACTCGAGCGCCGGCAAAAGAGTGCGTGGCCATACTATATCGTCCTATGAGAGGGCGTGCCAGCAGCCAGAAGGCCTAGTCCGGCGGCATTGGTCTGTCCCGAGACGCGACGAAAATACCGCAGGGCCCACGCGTCGCCTGCGACTGCGACTGCGACATGGCACCGGCGGCGGAGTCGTCTGCACTGTGGATGCGAGGGGCGGAGATTACCTCCGCCTGCCCCGGTCTGGTATCACGTGACATGGCGGGACAGCCACACTCAGCCACGCCCCCTGCCACACGTAACCCCCCAGCAACCCAGCACCCCTCTGCACAGACCACCTTCTTTTGCTGCCAGCTCCCGCCCGCACGTCACTACAAGCCCTTCCATATCGCCTAGACTCGTCACTCTCTCCCAACCCCAATACAATGTCTGAGCGAGGCGCTTTTCGCGGCCGAGGCGGTGGCAGAGGAGGCGACCGCGGTGGAAGGGGCGGCGGTCGTGGAGGAGGTGGAGGAGGTGGAGGCGGCGGAGGAGGAGCTCACGCTGGCGGCCAGACGGAGCGCCCCAAGAAGGAAAACATTCTCGACTTGAGCAAGTACATGGACAAGCAAATTACTGTCAAATTCAGTGGAGGCCGAGAAGGTAAGGAGGGCAATTTGGTCCTTTTGCAAGCACCAGTGGGGGCTAACTTCCCCGCAGTCATTGGCACATTAAAAGGCTACGACCAGCTTATGAACCTTGTCCTCGACGAGGTCAAAGAGGCTCTTACAGGTATGCGAGAGATTAACATACACACCCTGGCATCGCTAACCACCGCAGACGAGGATGGCAACATCCGATACCGCAAACTCGGCCTCATCGTCGCACGCGGTACCCTGCTCGTCGTCATCTCCCCCGTGGACGGAAGCGAAGAAATCGCCAACCCTTTCTTGCAGGAAGAAGAGTGATTGCCGACCATTACCAGCGGCAAGGATAGCAGGCTCACGTGTGCGCTGTGAGCAGCAAACAGAGAGCAGCCAGTGGCGTCGATCAAGCCAACGGCGTCGACCAGGGGCGTTAAAAATAGGGCTGGAAACCCAATACGATACCCACGAGGGACATGCGTGACGAATGCAAGGACAAGATGCGGCTTCTAAGCTGTGGATCGATGACAAGTTAGACGGTGACATGCCCACGACGGGCATGCTTGCCCGTTGCATCCCTACCATTGAACGTTGTGAATCAAAAATATAAAATCACCGATACTCCACTTACTAGTGATGAGGTCTTTCAAAACCACTAAATTCGTCATGGACTGTGCGCAGCACTACCAATTGACCATGCATTCGCCTGTGTAGTTACATGTTATGTTTCTTGCATGATTACATCCCTAGTTGCTCTTTCTTACGCTGGCCCCTTTCGCTTGCATACACGCCTACCCCTCCCCTGTCGTATTCAAGGCTAATCGGGAACATGTGGCTGAACCAGTCGTGCCATGACTCTGCTGGTTCGCCGTGTAGTATGTACATTAAAAGCAATGGTTCGCGCAGGCGGAAATAGCAATGTGGCTGTGCTGTCTAGTTACGACGTAGCTGGCACCGACCCCATCTGCGGCGCTTCCTCCCCGTTTCACATGGCCTTTGGGCACGTATGCGCCAGGCACCAGGCACCAACATATTGACACAAACATAAGCTCAGCTCACACCTGCCGTCGCTCGTTTCATCTCGTCCCCCTTTGCACATGCCCAAATTCTTGTTCCTCGCGATCTCGGCTAACAAAATATTGCCTGCTGCCCTGTGACGCTTCGTCTACCCACTTTCGATCCCTTTGGCCACTTGCTTACTACCAGATGCCAGCCTGGTATTCACCATGACAGCATTAGCAACTTTGGCATCACCATGGCCAGCATGGACAGCCGTAGCATCTACCATGTCTGCTGCAGGCCTCAGAATGGAAACATGGTTCATCACACTGACGGCGATACTCTTGCCCCTGGTCGTCTTCGTAATCACCATCCACCACCGCCAGACGCAACAACGAGAACAAAAGCCGTTTCCCTTTCTAGAGTTACCCCAAGAGTTACGGGACATGGTCTACGAATACTTTCTCGATGACCCCGTATACCCCGCGCCACCACGCCCATCATTTCACACACCTTCCGTAGTATCGTGGATGAACCCGAGCCGCTGGACCTTATCAACACCATCACGCCCCCGCCAACGCAACAACAAATGCATCTTCCTCACCAACAAGCAAATCCACGCAGAATACATGGACATGCTATGTAAACGCCGCACCTTCCACTTTTCTGTCTCCCCAGAAACCTACAAATCTCTCCCTGCCACTCCTCTGCCCCCTCCTCCCCCCACCACTACCGTCTCAACACCAGAACCCACAGACGTCTGGAACATCTCCCCAGCCACCCTCTCCAAAATCCGCCACTGCTCCCTCAGCCTCATCACCACGTCCGCTATGCTCGGCGTCACAGACCCACGCTCCATGACCTCATCGTCTTGGTCTCTCGGCCGCCGCATGCGCCAACAGCTCAAACACATGTCATCCATCCAGACCTTCACGCTCGACGCAAAAGCCCTCGGAGACCCCCTCTGGAATCCCCTGTGGATCTGGTACCACGCCTCGCAGTCGCTCAAGCTGCTTGGCACAGACATGTCGGATACGGTGCCCCGGGGCCCTCAGCTGAGTCGTATCACCTTTTCGCTGGATACGTGGTCGCCCGGTGAGAATTATCTCGAGAGGCAGCCCGAAGGCTGGACGTGGTATTGTGCAAGGGGGCATGCGGTTACCACTGATTTCGGGCACGACATGACGGTCAGGGAGTTTTGTGCAAAACTGTACAAGGAGTGTAGCGTTTGTTGGTCGGTTGCGGAGGAGGAGGATTTCTTGTAGTACAGCTTCCTTCTTTCTACGTATCTTACTATTACCTATTTCGAGTAACAACACAGCGACGATTTTCCTTTTCTTTTTCTATTTCTCATCTTTTTTGCGTGCTATCCAGAACGAAGGACGATATGTACTCTGTAGCATACTCCGCGTGTTTGTAATATACCCTGTTTGAATCGTATCCGTCTCCTGCCTCTCTATACTAAAGCCAAAGTACTGCACCAGCGCAATCACTTCGTCGTTGGTAAGTTCGAATGACCCCGGGTCCCCTATTCCCGCATCGCCTTCTATCCTACTCGCTTCGCCTTCGTCCCCTTCGCCATGATCTCTGCGAGGTGGCGGCGGGTGCCACAGCAAAGGACCGAGATTCACCCATATCCCGCCTGGCTTCAGGCAGTTCGCCACAGCCTCAATATATCGGATGAGATTCGGGGCAGTATCGATAAAGAAGACAGTCGTAACTACATCGAATACACCTGCATAGTCCGATCGACCATATACGACACAAAAGTCGCCCATGGACATGCTCATGCGGTCCGAAGCCGGCACTCGCGACGCCTGTTCCTTCCCGAGTACCGTTGCCGGATGCACATCCGGTATCTCGACCGTGCGCAGCTGATCCGCCCGCGAGACGTGGTTGGAGCTGCCAAGTGCCCAGGGCGCAATGGAAAACTGATGTGCATGTTTTGTCTCGTTGAGCACGAGCGCGCTGGCCATGAGCATGTGGTACGAGATTTCGTTGCCCTCGACGCTGAATCCCGCGCGGCAAATGTCGAAGACGAGACGCCCGAGGCCCACGCCTGGGACTAGGACTCTGAAGTCACCGCGATCAGGTTCAGAAACTGGATCCTCGGCGGTTTTGGCGCGCAAAGTAAATTCCTCCTGCAGAGCCGATAGAACAGGGTCAAAACAAGCTTTCCTTTCCTCCTGGCCCGGCTCACTCCATTCGCGGTAGAATTGGTTGACACAACTCCGTGCCTTTTCCACGTCGTTTTGGCCCGCTTTGTTGCCCCGGCCATCTGCTATGAGCGCGTCTAGCACGATATCGAAGACCTTGAACTCGTCGCGCGCATACTTCTCGGGAACAATGGAAGCAACCCATTCGCTATCCAGAGTGGGTGCCAGGAATGACTTGAATCCCGCGGCAAATATGGCTTCAGCTAGGTTGGCGTTCTGGTCGATTAGATCGTCTACAGCAGAGAAGGTAGCAAGGAGGGAGAAGGGGGGCTGTGAGAGGAGGGTCCAGTGGGCTGAGGGGAGTGAGTAGAAGGCTTGGCGCCGTGTGTGAGTAGCATTGTAGTGCGCGTGGCGGCGGTAGGAGCTGGATTACATGTGTTAGTCGAACTGTGCAAGTCGAGCCAAAAACGATATGTACCGGAATGAGTCTAGAACCGAGATGATGAGTTTCTGTTCTTCGGGATCAGATGTGGGATCGTAAGTATCGTGCAAATCCTCCTCTTCCATTTTTTTCGTTATAGTCTATAACTTTGATTATTGGTAGATATTTGACGTATGACGTATCAGGATATTTCTTTCCGGAATGAATGGTAGCCACACCCTGTTGTAGTCTATATACGTTTCAAGTGCTGTATAGATAAGTGACTTTCGCAGAGAGCTTCTATCTCTATCTTTTTGTTACCCCACGTGCAGCCGTATTCTCCACACTCGCAAATTGTAGGCCTTGACACGTTGAAGCGATGAGATCCGGGATATTGAAATTTATTATGATCTCATTATCAGCGGAGGAAATTTGTCACACAGAGGATATCTGAGAAGTCGCCGGTTCGCTCGGGAGAATCTCTTGTTGGAGGGTGTGTGACGCCACCAGGTACGTACTAGTAACAGTGCTACTACCCCACCTGCCACTTTCCCACCCGCCACTTTCCCACCCACATACAAAGCCATAGCACGTCTCTGCAACCTCACTTTCTACGGCGCGCCATGGCTACCTCAAACTCCCAGATTGGCGCGTCGCATGCGCCCATACAAGTGTCTTTTCCTTTGCCCAAGGCACCTGCCACAAATATCCACCTGCAACTCACAAACAATGGTCCCAATCTCGTCGTCTTCCTCACCACTTCGACAGCTGAATCGGCGTCTTCTGCTCCCATGGGCTCCCTTATATACGCCATGCCCAATGTGCGTCTTCAATACCTTGTCATACACGTACTCATGTGCTTGCTACGCGCAAATGCTAAATCGTCATACACAGAAAGTCACACCTGCCGAGACACTGAGCACGCCCCTCTTCACCCACGGTTCGACGCTAGACTTCACAACACGGTTATCCAAGGTTCTTGCGCGTAAGATAGGGAAGCCTGTCTACGTAGGAAATTCATCAAGTTTTGCGAGTGCAGGCATGGGCGGGACAGTCGAAGAAGAGATGGAGGGGTTTAAGAGGGTGGTGGAAGTTGTCATAGGGCTGCTAAAGGAGAAGAAATAGAGCATCGAAAACTGGAAACGCAAGAATATTGTAAAACATCTATCAGGGTGGTCTGTGAGTGGGTGGCAATCGTAATCTCACCAATGGATGCCGCTAACAGCGCTCAAGGTCAAATAACATGCACGGTCAAGGCTGAAGACGCGAGGCGTAAAGCGTTATTGTCATTGACGGTGCTAAAACACTCATATTTACCGACTCGGCTCAATGCCTTCCCTCCTCATCGATCCTCCCATAGGCATCAAGCCCTCGTATTGCATAGTCCTGAGCGGCTTACAACTGTCCGAGCCTCTCCTCAGCGCTCTGCTTAGCTTCGTCGGAAACGTTAGGGTTCTTCAGAGTAGCCTTGAGGCCGCCAGCGACATTGTTGGGGTTCTTGTCCTGGTCGCTGGTGGACTTAGAGGTGATTTCACCGCCGTTCTCGAGATCCTGGAGGACTTCCTTGGAGTGCTGCTTGGCTTCCTCCGAGGTGTCTGGCACGAGTCAGTGAGAGTATGAGAGAGAAATGAAGGGAAACCAACTGGGGTTGTTGATGTTGGCCTTGTGGCCTCCAATGACGTTTCCGGGGTTGGCAGACATGCTGATGGTTGTTGGTGGTGAAGTTTGAAAGGTGGTGTTGGTTGGATGTTTGTTATGAAGATGGATGAGTTGCTAAGTTGATGGTGAGAGCAAAGACGAAGGATTCAGGTCTTCTTATACCCGTCCAGAAGACTGATGTTCACCATGCCTTTGTTCTCGCAACGTCGTCATCGTCACCATCGCGCGATCTGCTACATGGCCTGGATACTCCTACGTCAACGATCGGATTGCTACACATCAAACAATGAGATCTCAGATGCACATCTTCACCGTACGGCCCGAGGAGTCTAGAGTCAGGTACACAATGCGATGAGACTAGCCCCTTGCATTTTATGAAGACATCATGACCCCCAGATGATCGTCCCGACAACCCAGGGACACAAGCCCCATCAACGTACTGCAACCAATGTCGTGCGACTGAGCGACTAGCACGCACATGGCGCATATAGGGAAGTTTCAGATACCCATCCACTGATGCATAGGCAAGCCGGAATCCCATCTTGTCCCTGACCCAGTCGCCCAGCCGTCTCCCCCTTAGCGGGACCCGCTTTGCGGCGTACGATCTAAGATCTCAGATCTCAGATCTCGCATGCAACTGTAGATGGCCGTACTGGCGGTGGCGGGAAAAGACAAAGCTACCTCTTTGCTACCTCAAAGAAAGGGTGTATCGCAAACTTTGGCAAGCCTCAGTCGTTGCAATCACAATCAAAGAGCAATGGCAAAGGTGATGTCATTGGCGTGTGTGTAATATGCACGTGATTTGGCGTTTACGCGCAACGCGATGACGGTGCTAGCTATGCACGTTGTACGCATGCAAGTACACGCGGATGTATGGACATAGAGTACTTGCCATACAATTGTGGTTTCAACGCTCTTCTTCACCGCTACAAATGCCACCATCTCCGATCACAGTATTCTTACCGGCTTGTCAATGGACTACTAGAGGCCACACAAAAGACACATTGCTTTTTTATTCCCGCCGTCATCATAGTCGTCATGCTACCCGCTTGGGCCATGCTGACGCCTTACACACCGACTTCATGTAGGACCTGCACAAGTAGAGTATGCCACTGACGTCTAGGCACACGTGATAATGAAGGTATGATTATTTCACCATTTGCTACTCTTGGGGATCGATGACGAGCTTCCCCTTGACTTTGCCGTCAAACACATCTTGGCTCGAGTGCTGCAACGCTGACAGTCCACCTTGGACCTTGGTAAATCTTACTGGCTCTACGAGACCTCCTGAAAGCACTCTGGGTAAGTATTCTTGGTACCACCAGTCACGCCATTCCGAGTACTCCTCTTTCTGCGCCGCTTGCGAGAAAGCCGTGTATATGAGGTTGACATTCGCAGGCAGCTCAACGGCACCAGGTAGAACACTGGCGAAACTGCCTCCTGTGGGCTCAAGAAGCGATGCCAGTGCGCTTTGGGAGGCTGCATCACCGCTTGCAGTGAAGAGGTACTTGTACGGTCCCAGACTGCGTAGCTTGGCGACTGCATCAGTGTCTTTGTAGTTGACCACCTCGCTGGCTCCTAGCTTCGTCTGGCGCTCAACATCCCGCGGCGATGCTGTGACGACTACTGTATACCCGGCCTTGAACTAGTCAGTCTGACGTTCAAGTCGTGGAATCGACAGCTTACTTGTTTCGCAAATTGGACTGCATATGAACCAACCGCACCTCCAGCACCCCAGATCAGCACCTTTTCTTCTTTTGCTCCACTACCGGGCTTTCCCATTCCAAGGAAGACGTGCAAGGCAGCGACCGCTGTTTGCAACGGAAAATCGACCAACACGGCTTGTTCGAAAGCGACATGGCCAATCTGCTTACATATCAGCCAAGTGACCAATGTTGCGAACTTTAGCCTTGAACAGCACACATACCTTTGCTACGGTTTTGGCATCGCATGCGACCAGCTGCTGCCAGGTACCCGTCCTTCGGTTGTTGCTGGCATCAACATATGCTTTGGTGTCAAAGACTACCCTATCACCCACGGCCAGTCCTTGTACGTGTTCGCCTACCGCTTCGATGATGCCCGCGCCGCTGGTACCAAGAATCGCGGGGTATGCGAGGTGTGCGGCTGGGCCGTAACCTGCAATCAGCATCTTGGCATCGAGAGGCTGAAGCGCGACGGCATGGTTTCGGATTAGGATTTCGCCTAGACCGGCATGTAGGGTGTCTGCATCTGTTATTTCTAGAGGCTTGCCGGGGCTGCTGAGGAGGGCGGCACAATGGGTATTGGCCATGTTTGTAAATAATCTTTATTTAATGAGATAATGTAGTTGTATATCTATTCGAGCATCTAAGCTGCTCAGAGACAAGTAGTAGTAGTAGTAGTAATAGTAGTAGTTTACCTCTAGTCCAGGTCTCCTACGCCATCTTTATGTATGTACTGCTGGCGCTCGACCTTCCCATTTCTCCAGCGTGCGACAAGCGCTTTTTCCAGTGCTGCTAATGTAAGTATTTGCAATGTCTTTGCAATGCACTTGCAACGACTGACTATCGCGCTCCTGTTGTGGCTTTTGCTAAGGCACGAGTGATGAGATAATCGGTTGGGCGTCTTTAGTAAGCCAAAGCGTGTAAGGAATGGGAATGACGCGCTGCACTTGATTGCTTGACAACGTTGTGTCAGCATGCTTTTGGCCGGCAAAGTGCATTAATTACCCCTTTTTCTGGCGGTCCCAAGCTAATTAAGGGCTGTTGTGGTGGATGCCCGGACCCGATGGACCCATCTGCGTCTCGGCAAGGTACCCTAGATTCCTTGGGCGGTATCGTTCCTCATCTGAATCAAGCCATTACCATGGAGAAATCATGGGTTTCTCACAATGGGCATCGTGCTATGCGCTGTTCTCACTGGCCAAGGCCCACCGCGCCTAGTGGAAATCCCAAGCATACGTAGCTTGTGTACGCTTCTCGCCCAACCCGCGAGGTGACTGTTGACCGCCAGATGCATAGTCGCAGCTCTTGGAGGCTTATTGCAACCCGGTGTGCGGAATGCGAAGCATGACTTCCTTGACATCAGATTGCGCCGCCAGGCTCCGGTTTGGGCAAACTTCTAGAAGAACAGGTGGTTGGCGGGAGGGTTATCCCTGGTCTCTCGCTCCTCACTAATCCGCAAGCGAGTGCAACACGACTGCTGACAAAACACCCGCCTGCATCATCATCACCAGGCGTCTGGGTGCATCTCACAAGTTGTGCACATGGGCTTGCAAGCGGCAGAGATGACTTCATGGCAGACAGATCGGGAGGAAAAGTCCCGCATGACGGCGTGCAGCTGGCTGGACGGCGGAATTTTGACGCGAGCTGAGTAACCCCCCCTGGCCCGGCAACTACCTAGTACACCTCGTGTTAAGACAGCTAATATTAGCGACCCTTTAACCACCTAACTGTCTTATTCGCCCGTGCGTTCGACTCGAGCCTTGGGCCGGTACGAAATCATAATGGAACGGCTCTCGGCGGACCAATCGACTGTCAATTGCGCCCAAAAATTACTCTGGCTTATCCAGATACCTGGATCGGCCATACCGACCACGGGTAGCGTTCACCACACGGCACGCGCGCCACACCTGCCATGACAGAGTTGCACAATAACCTTTTAGTCGTCTTTGCTCTGCGCGCCTAGTCTTGAACGAGCGACCCGCTGTCTCTGGCTATTTGGCATGCTTATCACAGGGACGACAAAGCAGACTTCCGTCAAGAACCGCCGAATGCGAGAAGACACCAGAATGGAACTTCGCCATGTATATGTATCGGTTTCGTGTTGGGCTGTGAAGCGATGATCAAACACTCCAGCCGTTCAACCGGTTGTCCATATCTGTATCCCATATCCCACATCCGTCACCATCCAGCCACAGCCAGACTTGGACCGGCATACTCTGCTACTTGGCCTGCAACTCTGACGGCATACACCAAGTCTCGTGCGTGCGGCTCGAAATAAGCATCTGACACACCAGCAGCCCTACAGCATCCCGCTGCACTTTGCCGACCGTGCATTCCGAATACTTGGAGAAGAGAGTGGTCCCGACGCCACACTTCTAAAAAAGGCATCCGCACACGCTCCTACCCCATCCACCGGCTCCGCTACCAGTGTCACTCTTTCCAGCACTACGGGTCCCGGCTCACGACCCAAGACCAAAATTGGCTGTTACATAGTCCAATAGTATTCAACCTTGCTGCTCGGACAAACGGACGCTTGGGCCTCACAAGACGTGCGGTGGACGACTTGCTCGAGTGATGTGATATTCGGCCGGCTTAGGACATCTTCTCTATTCAGGCTTCACTCTCTGTTACCGATTCTTAGTGATCTTGAAACCGGACTTCAATGCGATCGAGATTGGGGGCTCGTGTCGTCGTCGACGAGGATATAAGGACTGGATTACTTTCAACTCAAGATATCATCATCACCCAACACAACAACTACATTCAACCATCACCACACTCTTACGCTTACGACCTCCCAAACAACTGCAAGCAGTCTGTCAAAACATTACGCACTCTTCGAACCACCTCCTCGACTAGGACAACCATCAACCACTTGCGACTTTCCATTATATGAGTGATAGCCCCTCCGAGACTCCAAGCGCATCAAACTCCACGAAGCCTACCAATACCAACGACACATCTCGAACCAGCCCTCTCGCAGGCTCTTCTACCCGTCAAGACTTTACGGAAACTCCTCAATCTACCGCTGAACAAACCGTCTCCACGCCAGTGATTGTTATCACTAATCCACATACACCTTCACCCGAGTCTACTCCTCGACCAAACCGCTCCATACTTGTGCGTCACCAATCAACAGGTACTTTAACTTCTTCGCAATCTCCCGGTCAACAAGGCTCCTCCAGACCTTCTGACCGTCTACAACGATCGCATTCTCAACCCATCGAAGCAGCTAGCAACAACACTACAAATACAATGTCTTCTTCCGCCTCTTCTCCATCTGGCACCTCTACTGCTGGCAGTAACTCTGGATCTGGCCAGGGCTACCAACTCCCTTATGCTCCCTTCCCGTACCCAATGCCTGCCCAACCCCGAGGAGGCCAGCAGCAAGGAGGCCAGGGAAAATAAAGCGCTTCACATGAATTTCCTTTCGTAGTTGCATTACTCGGGTTGCATTTGGGATTTATTTTCCCATTCTCATGATCCGGCAGACATGAGCGGTTCACGGCGCAATTCCTCTTTCCACTCCACCAACAGCATATGTCCGTTCAATTTCTGGGAATTTCTTTCCACTTCGTTCTTTGTACGCATTCAGCCCATTGTATCTCCCATCACTTGGAACCAGCATTTCTCCACTTCTTCTCGAATCTTTTCTTGCATCTTTTCCAACCGTCAATATCTCACGATAGCACTGTTTCCGTCCCGGCCTCTACTTCCTGCATTCCCGGTGTTTTTTGTCCACTTTTTTGAGTTCTTACTTCCACGTCATCACGATCTTTTGGCTTAGCATGATGCGCGGGATATCATCAATTTCTTGTTTGGGTTTAGACTTTGCATAGCTGGCGTTTGGTCATTTTTCGAGTCCGTGTTCAATATCTTGTTTTCATGCCATGTGTCCTGCACAATCAGGCCACTAGCCTGTTGTTTTTAGTGTACTAGCTACATCTAACATGGGTAGAGCCTGATGTAACGGTCGTATAGCAAGACTAGCCACTCTTTTCTCGCATGTCAATATTAAGAAAATTTCCGCACATTTCCATTACTACATCGCTACGTGTTTGAGGATGTTGGTGTTTGCTTTGCGGTTGAGCCAATCAAGCCAGGTGTATACTGGATAGTTTTGTAAGTCATGAAAAATGTACCAGATGTACCCTAGCCTTTTCTCGACACCATGGTCTATTTTTAGCACCATGCGCTCGTATTCCAAGGGGAATGCTCCGCGCAGGCTCCATACAGGGGCGCTAGCAGCCACCAATACTTGAAAATCGATGTGGCTATTGCCTTTATAGGCTGGAGAGTGATACTTGGGTTTGATCTGCCAATACCATGCCGAGGGGACACTATTCCTGATGGTGAAGGTCAAAGTCTCGTGCCAATTGCTTGCCCGTCACGTGCAAGGGCTGATCTGCCATGAAGCGATCCGATGAGAATGCAACGTTACTGCACGTTCCCCGCGCAAAGCATTCGGTGCATTTGTGCTTTGACCAGACGGCATTACCGTCGATGTCGTTGTCGTCAACCTGTGACGGTGATGGTTCAATGTTGATGTTGCAGTCGATCGGCGCAGAGGAGACGAGAACTCCGACCGTCTGACTAAGCGACAGCCGTTGAACATCGTCATCCGCGCCAACTTTCCTCACACGGCCCACGCGACAACGCGACACTACCGTCTCGCGCAAATCCCCCTGTATCGCTACTAGCCTTCTTGAACCACGCTTTTTTTAAAGCCTCTCACCCGGCTTATCCGTTGATCGACCTACCGATAAGGCCTCTGCAGACCAGTTGACGACTCGCTGCCTGCCTCCCTGACCTCGTAATCCCCCGTACTACCGTCGTATCGGGCATCGAAAGATCGCACCGTCGCCTGTCTCTCCATCCGGCATCACGCCTGCATCACATCATCACAGCCGTCATGGCACCTTCACGGTCCCGCGCCTCACTGCTCTCTCTCCTCGCTGCTACATCGCTCCTCCCCCAGACGGCATGGGCCTTCGAGTGCGATAACATCGTCGCTGATGGCGCACACTTCAATTTCAAAGAGCTAGGTGGGCCCCATACGGTACACTGGGAAGAATCGGACCTGGAAAAGGAGCTTAAGTTCAAGTACAACTTCACCCTTGACATCTGCAATGCCCTCAAATGGCACAAGGGTGGCTCACTCGATACCGAGTGCCACCACGGCGCAAGGGTATGCGCCATTAGGGAAATGGTTGATCTCAGCAAGGAGAACAGTACAAGCATCACGCCCATCGATATCGCAGGTTCCTACCCAATGCAGAATGGCCGAACAATCGACGCCAAGTTTGAGAATCTAGGTCATTCAAAGAGCAACTCTGATGCGCGCGAGGGTGTCCGAGCGACTCTGAACGGCGGCCGATTCCCATTTGATGACAAAAAGGAAGGCATGAATCAGCGCGCCATTATTGAGTTTGTGTGTGATAAGGAGAGGTCCGGATCCGAGGGCAACGAGGTGGACAACAGCCCGCATGAGGATGGCGACAAGGATGACAAGGACGGCGATAAGAAGGATGATAAGAAGGACGACGACAAAAAGGATGATAAGAAGGATGACAAGAAAGAAGGCAAACTCAAGGCAAGAGAGGAAAATAGCAAGGGCAAATGCGAAGATAGCGACGCCAGTCTTCGCTTTTGTGGGTATGAGGTGGAGCCTGACACCAAGGACAAGAAGGTCCGCACACTGCGCTTGGAGTGGCGGACCAAATACGCCTGCGCAGATGCGCCTGAGCCCGACAACGGTTCCCACTGGGGCTTCTTTGGCTGGTTCTTCATCATGTATGTGCACCCTTCACTCTTCTCTCCTCTTCTACACCCATCTCAAGTTCAAGAAACTAATCACATATCGAAAAATAGCCTCTTCCTCGCAATCGCCGCATACCTCATCTTCGGCTCCTGGCTGAACTACAACCGCTACGGTGCTCGTGGCTGGGACGCGCTACCCCATGGTGATGCGATCCGCGACATCCCTTACGTTGCAAAAGATTTCGCGAGAAAGGTGATGGATACGGTACAGGGCAGTGGCAGTAGAGGTGGTTACGCTGCTGTGTAAAAACTCACTTTTTCTTCAATCTGTTTTTATTTCCATCACCATCACAAACATACACATGCATTCGCATCTACTATAGATTGATGTTTGAGCGGGTAAGATCACCTGGGGCTGTGTGCTGTTTGTGCAGAAGGAAGGGGGTGGGTTGTGAAGGGGTAGAGCAAGGATGAAGTGAAGTACATTTGCATTCCATGGCGTGTTTGTAGGGTCCTGTGCAGAGATAGTTACATATTTTTTTCTTCAGGCTTTCACATGGAATCAAGCTGTAGTCGTTATCTTGAAGACTACTTTATTAGTGCGTTTGTTGGAACTCATCATTTCGATTTGATACAAAACCAGACTTGACGATGATATCTAAGCTGATCATTGCTTTAAAGGATATAAAACTGCCCAGTGGTATATTAGCGATAGTTGCAAAGCTATCGTTATCTAATTTTCATAACCCGCCTGGTTCATGAACGGGCTCCTCGCACGTATACTCCTCCCATATCTTAGCAAAACCAACGGAATGCAACTCAGCGCCAGGGCCACAAAGCCCAATAAACTGCTAGCCCACTGGAAACCGAGTGCACGATACAAATCCTGCGTTGCCAGTGGCAAGAACGCTGCCATCGTGTTCTCGAGAAAAGCAATGCCGGCAATTGCACTGGCTGCATACTTTGCATAGGCATCGACGACATACGACGTCACTGCGGCTGTACTGCAAAACATGCCGAAGCCCACAAAAGCAAGTGATATGCCAGGGACAATCCACGGTATGGAGGAATAAGATGTCCAGGCAAAATAGAAGAGACCTCCGCTTAAGCCAATGAAGGACGCGGGAATACTCAGGTAGAGGCGAGCTTCCGGTATCGGTTTGCCCGGGTTTTCTGTATTTTGTCTGCCAGATGCGAAATAGATTCGGTCTTGCACCAGCGATGCGAAAAGCCCTATGAGTTCCCCAATGACGACCGCACTCTGGACTAGGCCTGTTCCAAAGAAGGTCCAGCCATAGAGTTCAGAGAAGACTTGGACGATAGACTGCGTGAACATGAAGGCGGTTCCTATGCAGAATGCGCTCCACAGGCCGAACGACAGCACTACGCCTTCCGTACAGAGCATACGTGAGGGTCGAACGAGCGTCTCTTTGAGAATGTCGCGGAAACTCGTCTGTTGCTTTTCGGCTACAGTGTAGACTTGCTTTCCCGTGCTCGCGCGTATATGACGGGCGCGCCGCGTGAGAATAACATCTGATCGGACTTCTGCAAGTAGCAAGAACAACACAGGTATCAAGGAGGCGTAAAGGATGATTTGGCCCAGGAAGATCCTACCGAACTCGTCAGTGTCTACTACCGCACTAGCATAGCCATCATCTTACCATCGCCAAGTCGTATACCTCACCACCAAACTTCCAAACACAGGCCCCATATTCAACCCCGCCAGCAACGTAAATATATACAACGACGTACAGAAACTATGCACTCGCCCCGGTCTCCAAACATCGCTTACAATCCCCGACGTGATATTCGCCAGCACGCCCGCACACGACCCCGTGATAATCCTCGTAATGATCAACGTAGCAAAATTACGCGCCAGCGCTTGCGGAACGATAAAGACGATCATAACAGCATAGATGATCATGTAACTCCATCTCACGCCGAAATTCTCCATCAGAGGGAGACCTATCAGAGGCGCTGCTGCGCCGCCGAGGTTCCAGCTTAGCACCGGCCAGTACGAGTGCGGAAATGCTTCGTCGCTGATGGCGAAGCTGGTGTTTATTTGCGGTGCGACAGATGTGAGCATTGTGCCCGAGACTTGGACGAGGAAGGTCATGCTGCATGTGAGGAGGGTTGTGCGCCATTTTTTGCTCCGACGGAAGTTGAAGGGGTTAGAGGGGTCGGAGGGGGAGGCCCAGGTGAGGTAGTTTGGGGGTGAGTCTGCGTCGGCTTCTTTGGTTGGGTCGAATGGAGGTGTTGGAGATGGTTGTTTTTCGCGTGTATCATGGGAGGAGATGCTGGATGAGGAGCGTGAGGGAGTTGGTGAGGATTGCATTGTGGATGTGAAATTAGTTATGATGACTGGAATAGTCTCAAGTATTATGGTTTCTTCTCCCCCAGTCGGCAGAGATGCTGGACGGCCACAAGACGTAGTAGGTCTTAGATAAAGCGGCAATTACTACCACTGAAGATTGATGGAGTGCCAGTGGTTCGACAGACTAGAGTATAACAAGACCCTAGGATAAACAAGCTTTCTGATGCCGAGAGATGTCTTAGTGTATCAATAGTTTAAAAAGCGGTCCAGGATGTATAGCTTGTATGTAATAGTCGAGAACAGGTGGTGAAATCTCGGAGGCGCAAGGACGCCAATCTGGTTTTTGCCATCATGAGAAGCGGATGATTCATGCTTTGAATTGCAGTGCAAACTGACTTGGTTGTGTGACATCATACCTGATGAGGCGCTTGACTGGAAAAAATGAGCGATGGGATGGTAACTATAACGTAAGAAAAAGCTTGTAAGCGGGCAAATAGAAGGCTTGGCAGGTGTTAACAGCAATTGTTACCGGGTTGGCTAGAACGATTGTGGATCTGACGTAACCTATGTATGTTATACTGGAGAGAGTAAAAGTTCGTAGCTAAGCGACTAGTAGAACTATTCCACGATGATTTTGTGTTGATGGGAAGTCCGACTAAGTTGAAGGGGCGTTCGCTGTGCGCCACAGCCGAGGTGCATTGCTTCCCGCGCTAGCGCTGACCAGAGATATCAATGAGTCTTAAACATAGTTCTCACGCGTTCCCTTGTCCGCGCTGCGATAGATGGCTTCAATCATCTTATGCCTTACGAGCGCTTCCTCCCAGGTTGTGACACTGTATCCATTCTCCGTCCCAATGCCGGCCCATGCGTCCCAGGCTTTCCCCACACTAAAGGAAAAGTCACCTGCCTTTTCGACTTCAACTTCCTTGAGCTCTCCCTCGCCGACTGCGAGTTTGACAGTTGGTTGGAACATTTGAACATGGCCGCTGATGCACCCTTCGAGAACCAAAGTACCCTCCGAACCGATGATTTCCCAGTAGAAGTTATGTCCAGAGCGGGATACGCCTGAGGCATATGTCACGGCGACATTGCCACCGCCATTGGTGAGCGACGCCGTAATGCTGACAAAATCATGCGCTGTCTTTTTGCGCTTTTCAACCGGCTTGCCATTCCCATCAACAAGATCGATATCGGGGTAGTTGTTGGACAGGGTAGCGACAATGCCCTGTAGCTCACTGCCCAAAACATAGCACAGTGCGTCAACAGCGTGACCAAAAGGTATAGTCAATATATTAGCCCCTGCTTCAATTGGTAGCGCATACAATAGGTTTTCTGGGATTGCATCTGAAAACATGTTGCCCTCATAGATTGTTAGGAATGAGTACTGCTTAAGGATTGGGTGCACTTACATGGCCGAACATAGTCGTTCCGAGGATCTTTCCCAACTTTCCTGAGCCAACAATATCCTTCGCCTTGATGATAGATGGGCTTTGACGCGCTTGTAGTCCGACCAAGGTCTTTACTCCCTTCTTATTCGCTAAATGCACTAGCTCTTCAGCTTCCGTAGCGTTCCGAGCAAGTGGCCATTCGGAAAATACATCTTTGCCTGCTTCGAGTGCTGGCCGGATGAGATCGTAATGCTGAGGTACATTGACGCTGACAGCTACAATATCGACATTTGGATCTTGAGCAATCGAAGCCGGACTATCATGTGTCGAGACGCTGTCCAGAGAGTACTTCTTGGCTGCTACTTCAGCAGAGGATTGCGAACTGTTTTGAAGGGCCGTAATCTTGTATTTCGAGGTCTTTTGAAAGTAAGGAAGGTGGGATTGAGATGCCCAGGAGCTATATATCATGTTAGCCGTTTCACGCGTCGGATCTTTCGATATTTCAATGCTTAGCACAAACCCTTTTGCTGAAAGACCAATCAGCCCGACACGCTTGTGTGAGTCTGACATGATGCCTGTAATGATCGAGATGTGTTTCGGGATGTACGAAGTGTACAGGAATTGAATTTTAAGTCCAGGCATCTTTCGTGTTCTATACCCAATCTACCTCGGCCTTCTCGATAGCAAATTCCCCGCTTTGCCCCACGTAGTGTTGCGTGATTGTATACTACATACGTACCAAGGGCGTTTACGACGTCACTAACCAAGTAAATCAGTAGTTTCCGCCAGAATTCGTCCGCTCAATACATCCCATATTTACTTGATGATATTGCGCCGTGTGCGACTATAGGGATGTTAACGTTCGAAATCCGCTTTTTCTCTTGCATGAAATTGTCGACTCGCAATCCTGCTGTCGCGCACATCGCCATACGCCGTGAGACCTCCAACGGCTGATTGCAATCATACCTCTAGTAAATAAATACGAGTTTCGTAAAAACCAGCGTGCTATTTGTCTTATTAGTTTTATTCATTGGTAGAAACTATCTTATCACATCCAGATTGTGCTACGATAAATAGTCCAACGAGCATTCCCACACTGAAATCTCTCTCAAGTTAGCAATATCAGAAATGTATTATTATTATTCCATTATAGTCCTGTATCAGCCGTTGGCTATGTAGGACTTTGGCCAAAGGCCGTTCTATCTGACTAGTTACAATTTGGTAC